CCCGACTCTAAAACCCTGATCAAGTCTTTCCCTAATTAGGGTTTCCCCTAATTAGGGTTTTGCTCACTAGGGTTTTAGGAACTTCACGCGCAACCGCACGCTTCCTCGTCGAACTTTTCGAGGTAGAAAATTTTTCGTTAGTTTGTAGTTCGTTAAGGGTCGAGTTCCAACGGATCACTTTCTTCAACTTCCGTTTCCCTTTTATTTTACAAAAATACAAAGAAAATTACTAATTCCCCTTAATTTCCCGCTCTTTTCTCGTATGTCGGCGGTCACCACTCGTCCAAACGAAGTCCGTTTTCCCCGACTAACATCTCAAAACGTCAAGAAAAATACGGCGACCAACTTTGGTCGGGCGGTGATCTCCTAATTTCGCTTAATTTCTTAGTTATAAAAATAAAAGGGAATTCTTAATTTTCGGAATTTTTAATTAAAAATATAAAAAAAATTCATATCTCTTTTTCTAGCCGTTAGAATTTCTCAAGAAACGTCTCAAAACGTTCGCCTCGACGAGAGGTCGAACTTTGCTTCCAGTGCGCCTCGCGTAAAAACGTGCGGATCGGGAGATATTTAAAAAAAACTATTTCAAAAAAATATCAAAAATTAAAGCTAATCAAGAAAACAGACTAATTAGCGTTGCACTAATCAGCCCGCGCACCCCCGTTGGTTAGGGAAGGCCGCGGCCTTGGGGGTGCTACTCCCCTCCCCGGCAACGGCGCCACTGTTGTGAGGAAACCCGGGGAGGGGCTACCTACCGTACGCTGAAGCCATGGGCTACGGCGCCTGTCACTTCGCCGCACCCGCTTCCGAGGTCCTCAGCGACCAGTAGGGTGTAGGGGGCCAATCGAGTTCAAGATCCGTCGAGCCCCGTCGTCACACAGCGCTCTYCAGCAATTAGAGAGAGTATGATAGATTACTAAATATTTCAATAAGATTAAAGAATTAAGTAAGAATATTAAATAAATAAAAGAGTAGCAGAGTTAAAACTGGCACTCTCTCTCCCTCTCTCTGCCTCTGTCAGTCTCAGTCCCTGTCCCTTTCTCTCTGCGTGAGTCTGCTCTCTCTCTCTCTCTCTCTCTCACTCTGTCTATCTCTGTCCCTGTCCCCCCTTCTCTCTGTGAGAGTCTGTTCTCTCTCTCTCTCTCTCTCTGCCTCTGTCAGTCTCAGTCCCTGTCCCCCCTTCTCTCTGTGTGAGTCTGTTCTCTCACTCTCTCTCTCTGACTCCCTTCCTCTGTGTGTGTGTGATCCGATTTCGACTGTCACCGCCGCTCGTCCTCTACCTGCAGCGTTTTGTGTGTATCTGATTGCACGCAGCGGTTAGGTGCATCTGTGATGGACTAGTTGCGGTGGCACTAGGGAGGGGACCGTCAACTTGAGTGCACTTCTCTCATCATCGTGAGCTAGCACATGGTTGGCGCTCGTCCCAGCCAGTTAAAGAATTTGGAAAGATGCGTCAGGAAACTCCGAGGTAGGTGCGTGTTTCTCCGAGTAGTAGAAAACTTCACCAGGATCAAGGTAAGACGCACCACTCTGATCTTGGCCTTTTGAGCAGTGTGGAGTTCCCAGTCCAGTCTCTTAAAGAGGGTTTGCGCTATCTTTWACCGCCCTGAGTAAATCTTTCACCGCCCTGAGTGARTCTTTCACCGCCCTGAGTGAATCTTTTACCCTCTGCTTCGTGGGTAGTCGAATCASTGTGTCTGATCCGATTCTACACACCCTACTTTTTTTTTACAGTAACTGCTCTCTCTTACCAGTCTTACCCTTCTCGGCTCTCTCCACTCTCTCTTCTCCCCTCCCCCTTTTTCGGTCTCATTTCGTTCTCGCTCGTTTACAATCTCCCATTTACTCTCTCATCCACTCTCGTGTAGTCTCTTGTTCGCTCGGATCCGGTGCTTCCCCTTCTATCACTTCCTTATTTGTGTTCGTTCAATCATTCCTTCGAAATCAAACGTACCTGGTCAATCTTAGGGCCGGAGAGGTATCATCTGGAAACGAAGGGGCACATCCCTCACACACTCCACTCATCCTTTAGTGTGGGCACGAGAGCTCGTCCTTCAATTCAGATTGTATTCTTGCCTCAACCGAAATTGACATGCTATAACAAATGGACACAAGCACCAGTCACCCAGCCGTTGCATCGATCACTCTCCTGGCCAGTCCCGCAAGCTCTGGATTCCTAGACTAAGTCTCGTGTTTACTCCGTGGATCGCAGACATACGGCGATGGTTTCCCCGACTTGATCCGGGCCGCGTCCGTTTCACTAGAGAAGAACAACGGCGCCAAACCAGTTGTCAGCGCTGGCTGATCACTTGCTAATTAATAACGAAGAGGGAGATGCGAGCTCAGATTGAATTATCCGGGCTCAGCTTGCACCGAGCTCGCGGTTCCTATTGCCCATGACTATACTCTCCCCACGCTATTCGACTGCCCGCCGTTGCCCGACCTTTTCAGTGTCCAGAAGCGTGAGGAAGSYATAGTTCGCGCCCGCGAGCTCGTGAGCTCCAACTTTGGCAAAAAGATTCACTGCGTACGCCTGGCACGACTCTCCCTTCGTAATCATCCTTGGCTCCACTTGCTACCATTAAGCCTTGTGCAAGTAACTGTCGTTCCAGGGGGACCTGTTACTCCGTGTGTGCATCCCTTTGTCCTTCAACTGCTTCCCCGTATGAGCGTTCAKTCATCCCGCAAGTACGAGCGAGGGTGATCTCCTGAGCSAAGGGAAAGGGCGTAGTGTACGCCGTGCGCACCGTATCTTCCCCCCTACTTCCCAGAGATTATTCCTTACCTTGTTCTCAACCGAGCTGTGTTGTGGGCGGCGTACGCCAGGCTCGCGAGGGAAAAAAAATCCCCTTCTCTCAATGACTCTCCCCACTTATCTCCTCCCGAAGTAGTCCCCAAGGGTCGCTCGGGTCGCTTGGCAGGGCCCTAAA